TTTGTTTCCATCAAAGTTTCTGAGGATGCGTGCTTCCACGTGGTGCGGCTGGAAACTATTCTGAAAAGGCTAGGAATAGAGGAACTAAAATGAAACGCTCTAAGGCTAAATACCCTAGTTGTAACACTGTCAGATTTATCTGACCAAAACATATAAAATATTTTAGATGATATTGATACTTTATAAATCAGCAATTAGTTCAATAATATTACTGCTATAATTAGATAGAAAGAAGATAAAAGATTCCTTCAGCCTGAAACTTCGTAAATAGTTTCATCTCATCGTAACCTACAACTATTTTATTTACGAAAACTCTTGGAATTGGATTGTTTTCAATCTGGAGGGAGGCAAACTTTGTCTATTTAATTAGGTAATAAAAACTCGTAAATATCCATTTGCTTTCTGCTTGGATCGGACGTTTACCTGTTTTATGGGTTCCTCTTCTGTTTCTGCTAGTAGGGCTAGATCTTCTGCAAAGACCAGACACCTTAATTCCACATTGTCCTTCTTTATTCCTATTACTGCACTCGCCTCGTTCTTTTGCCAGAAAATTCTCATAATTTTGTCCAGCACTACATTAAACAGTATCGGTGACAGGCCGTCGCCTTGCCTAAGGCCCGTGTTTATTTGGAATAGTTTCCTATTAGTCCCTGGAATTTTATTTTTGAATTGGTATTTGTCAGAGTCAGTTTTATCAGGCTTATTGTTTTTTTGTCTACTCCGTATTCCCTCAGACTTTCAAGCAATATTTCCGTCTATTGAATCATAGGCCTTTTTAAAATCTATGAAGGAGATGTAGAGATTTTTCTGGGGTCTAGCCCTGCTATTTTTCTTGTGGTAGCTCCGAGGGGCTAGTTCCTCTGCAAGTCCTATTTAATTTTTCGTAACTTATTCCCAGTTACCCGGCACTATCACTTTCTCTTTCTCTTCGAATTCCTGTATTTTTTGTTGTACAAGCCTTAGTCTGTCCACCTTGACTATTTTCTTTTAGTTTTTTGTCATCCTTCTCTTAGGTATAAAATTCATCTTGATTTGTGAGGGGTAGTTACATACAGGGGTCTGATGTTACATTAATTGCCCTTCTTACTCTGACATTTTAGATTTCCCTATGGTTTTATCTGGATATCGCTAAGTGGTGTAGCTGATAGGCGATACCCACGTATTTTTCTTACTTGCTTTAGCCAAGTAATAAATGGACATCATTTTCATTCTGACGTTTTTGCACGAACTTATTAGTATTTCTCCATTTCTGTTTGTTCTTCTGTGCGCCGGTTATTTTCCTACTATTTATCTATGCTTCCGTTCTTTCCCTATTTGCGCATTTAAAGTCTCCCGCTAGGATTTTTACATTATCTGTGGGGATTTAGGACATCTGTTCTTACAGGCTTTCCCAGAATTCCTCCACTTTCTCGGGGTTTCTCCTATTCTCTTCGTTTATGGGAGCATGTTAGTGTATTTCTTGTTGATGGACTTTATTGTGAGGGTTGATAGTTGGGAATTTGCACCTTTGAAGTCTGTTACCGTGTCCAAGAAATTTTTATTCACTAAAAAAGCTGTTCTCAACAGTTTCATCTGGGAACCTCGTCTCCTGTATTGCCATCACGGATATGTCCATCAGGAACCAGGAACTTTGATGGTAACAAAAGGCTTTCTTAAGGATGCCGAAACATTAGCGTCATTAAAGTAAAATTTTATTAAATTATTTATTCATTTAAACACAAAAATTTTAACCTAAAATCCTTTCAGTTGGCATGAGGAGAAGAGCAAGAACATAATCCTTTATGTTTATTATAATCCTTTATGTTTTTAAAGACAAAAAAAAAAAAAAAAGAGAAAGGTATGGCATGTGATAATAATCACATGATAATTAAAAAATTATGTTATACATATATTGTTAATGTCATTAATTAAATATTAATTTATCCTAATTGAAGTGTTATAATTATAGAGATGAATATGATACACGGACACTAAAAGCTACTCTGCAAATAAAGTTGTAAAATATAATAGACTGTCAATAGTAAAAAAATTTATTTTTTTTAATATAATTAATTTTGAAATAGGCTAATTGATAATTAACATAATTGAAATAATTATCTGTTATTTGAAAAAAGAAATTTCTTTTTATTATTTTTTTTTTTCAACTTTATTTTTACATCAAATCTATCTAATACATATTTGACAATCACTGGATTGTCTGGCAAGATTAGAAAAATAATAATAATGGCATCAGGCATGAGGAAGAAAAAAACAATACCCAGTGGTATCTCTTCCATGCCATTATTTCAGAGACAAAATAGAATTTACAGGTCTCTCATCCATGACCTTTTCAGCCTCCTCATGATGTTGTCAGGCATGTGAGTAGTGGTCATTCTTACTATTAGCTTATTTTTATGTCCTTGTAAATTGTCATGAAATCTTTTGTTGTGTGTCCATATGTATTCGCTGACTTAGGGCATTCTAAGGTCAGTGAGTATAGTCATGTCAAAAACATATCGAGGTGCTTATGTAATAAGTCTAAAAATTTTCTATGAGTGTCTTTTTAGCAGAAACAAAAAACCAAATCGGTTTTAGTATGTGTAGGTAGCAAGTTTCTGTCTTAAGTTTTAATTTTGATTGTGGTCTGAGTAATAAGTATAAGTATTAAAGCATTCTTAAAAAAAAAATCTTTGATAACAAATTTAAACATGTTCATTATAAAGTCAAACCTGTAGATTGAACTTCCATCAGTCTATAATCTACAAATATCGATTTTTTTTAGAATCTTTCAATTGGTATAAAATATATATATTCAATGCATTGAATAAAATTTCAATGAATTAAATAAAAAGTAATATTTGAAAAAATGTAAAAAGTTGAAAATTATCAATTTCAGAGTCAGAGCAGCCGTAGGATTGGAGAGCCCTTGTCTCCAGGAACAAGATTTTTTTTTGTTTAGTATTTTATTATTTTTATTTGATTTTATTATTATTACTTGCTGTATATATGTGAGGAAAAGTGCTCCAAAAAAACAGTGGAAAGTGTATTTTATTTTTGGTATATGGATAGAATTTCTTTTATTTTGTGTTTGTAATTATATTGGATTGTAACTACTGAACACTCCGTACCTTTGCTACAGTGGGAGCAAGAATATAATGTTATTGTGTTATTTTATTTTTTTTTATTTATGAGTAGTAAGTTTACGAGGTGTCCATAAACTGGTGGGGGGGAGTTAAGGTACGGAGCGGCACAGTATTAGCGTTAATACCAAACGCACTGATGTAAACATGGGTAGAATGTATATATAGAGGATTATAAGGAACAATAAACCAGTTTTGATTCCGACTTCATGCGTTACGTTTCGTGAACCTTTTCCTTTTTTTTTATCGTTTCAAGTCCAAGACACTTAACTTTTATATATATATATATATATATATATATATATATACACATATATATATCTTTACAACTTTTCCTTAATCGACCTTTGAGTATTAAATTTAAACTTAACTATTTAATTGGGAATAAGGTCACTTATTATATTATTTAATAAACTACTGAATGTTCATTTCTTCTGTTTATTGACGTTTCGATCCCGGTATTTTCTTTTTATTAGTCAACGATGGGATCCTCTTCAAAGCTAGAATTTAAAAAAATAGAGCTTTTATCAGGGCAGGGACACACCGACAGTCTCAGCACCGTCCACCAGCACATATATTAAGCTACTTAGTATATGTGCTGTATATATGTAAGTAGCTTAATATATGTGCTGGTGGACGGTGCTGAGACTGTCGGTGTGTCCCTGGCCTGATCAAAGCTCTATTTTTTAAAATTCTAGCTTTGAAGAGGATCCCATCATTGACTAATAAAAAGAAAATACCGGGATCGAAACGTCAATAAACAGAAGAAATGAACATTCAATAGTTTATTAAATAATATAATAAGTGACCTTATTTCCAATTAAATAGTTAAGTTTAAATTATATATATATATATATATATATATATATATATATATATATATATATTATATATATATATATATATATATATATATATATATATATATGAATTAATAATTTAAGTCATTTTAATTTATATGAGATTATTGAAAAAAAAAAGAATATAAAAAAAACACAAAATTAGCTCAATATTGTATGCTGTTTCAATATTTTTATGCCTAGCTCATTTCATTTATTTATAAATGCTAAAAAAAAAATTTTAAACTGACTATTTTTACTCGGAGACGATAGGGTGAAAGAAAAAACAGAAAGACATTTCCTGGATGGAAGTTTAGAAACTAGAAATACTACTACTTTAAACATAAACAATTAAAGTATAAGATATCCAAGGGTATGAATTAGGTGTTGAGAGTCCTTGATGTAGCTGTGTCTCTTCTCTCATGTTGAAGTTCCTTCCCCATCACTTTTCTACATTAATTATCTGCAGAAATATGTGTAAACATTTTTTAGAATCTTTTGCATTTTAATTGTTATAACATAATTTTCACCAACAAGTAAAACTTGAAAATTTATTCACAGTGCCCAATTTAATAAAACCTAAGAGCCAACACCAACCCTTCGATGTATACCACTTGAAGGCCAAGCCAAACCTCTATCAAAATGTTTATGAATGGTTTACCATTTACTGATCCTGATTAAAATCAATTAAATAAGCTGTTTGCAGTAATTAAATTAAAAGTAATGAAATAAAATAAGCTGTTCATTTGTTCGAAATGATTTGCTCAATGTATAGATGAGCAATCTTGCAAAACAGTTTTTTCATGAAGATAACTTCCCATCCACACTATGTGAATCCACATTCACCATCTGTTTAGCGAGTGTGTACACACCCTAAGGCGCATCACCTAGGTTCATTTACACAGAATGAATTTGTCTTGAAAAATTCATAATCATATTACATTGGAAAACAATGCTAAAAAGATAATCAGAACATCAGCAGTATCTCAATCATCAATCAGGAAATTTTAACAAAGATAATAAAAATTATAAAACAAACTTTATAAAAAAAAATATCAATTTATTAATGACAAAAATATAAACAATGTTATGGTAAAATTTATGTACAAATTTAATAAGTACAGGTAACTCAAAGGTGACTTTGTGATAACAAAGAGGAAATCTGAATATATCAGGTATTATTCAGTTTCAAATCTTAAAAAATAAAAACAGCCATTGTTGTCAGATGATATGCATGTGTTATACACACACATATTCTTTCTCTTTCTCACACACACTCATACACAAAGACATAAAACCACAAGTGATATTCTTTCATACAGCTTATTTATAATAAAAGTGAAGAGCATGTCTGTGATTTAGAAACATCAAGTTGTCTAGTTACAGTTAACAATAAGGTATAAACTTAAATCACAGATATGTAATGTACAAGTCAGTCATTTAAAAACATTAAAATAAACAAATAATTGTATAAAGAAAAACAAAATATAACTAACAATACTGATAATCTGAGCAATACAATAACAGTGTGAAGGAGACGATTCATCCACAATTAGACTTCTACAAGGTCATTCTAGAAAAAACGAAAAATAAAAATAATTAAAAATATGAAGACATAATAAATTCAATACTTATAAACTAATTAATTATTTTTTTAAAAAGCTGCATGTCTATATTATGAAAATATACACTTAATTAATTATGTATTTGTTCTAATAATTTATATGAAACAATGCTAGGTCATCATGAGGAAAAATCCCAATGAAAAAATATTTTTTTGATTACATGTTTCTCATTCAAGAATCCAAATTATGGATGATATGTATTACTATAGCCAATTTCAATGATTTGGAAGACATAAATTCAATTAATAGATATACTAAATTTTGAGTACAATTCAATTTATTATTATTTCTTACTAAACTAGATTTATTTTTTAGGGTTTCTATTAGGTTGTGGAGAATGTTTATTACGGTTTTACAAGGAAAATTTTATACACACTAACATATAAATATTTACTTTCAACTAAAAACACATGTGAGTTTACTATCTATTTAAAATGTGATCATTAAATCTTATTTATCATTAGTAAATTAATCTTTAAGATAATTATAATTAGTAGCATCATAATAAACATAGATAAAAAGTCAATGGAGATTCGTTTATCAATGAGGGTAAAACACAGTAAACAAATTAAACATAGTTAATAAATTATCCCAGACCTGTTTAGTAATGCTGAATAATAATTTTCAATTATGCTATTACTACATTAGACCTTTATCTATTAATTAATATTAGCGCCACTAGTTAATATGAAATATTGCTTTAAAAGTCAAGATTCAGGGTTTTGTATATATATATATTGTAATGTGAATATTACATAGTGACGTCATAAACTACTGTCAAGGAATGGACAAAGTGGCGGAGGAAGACAGATGAAAGGGGAAGCAAGCGCCATATGTTGAAAAAAGAGGGTAACCACCTGGCACTAGCGGATCCAGAATTTAATTTTGGGGGGAGCTTCAGCCCGAAACCTTTTTTTTTCATAAAAATAACGATAATTACTTTGGAAAAACAGAAAGAAACTAACTACCTATATGAAATGGTGTTTAAGTGATTCCTTAAGTGATTTTAAATGTAATTACACGAACAATAATACTTTAAGAGGTATTTTAAAAAAAAAATTTCCCATAAAACATGGTTATATTTTTCCATTTTGGTGGGGGCTTCAGCCCGAAAGCCCTCCCCCGTAGATCCGCCCGTGACACCTGGTAAGGAAAGAGCATCAAGAGCAACAGAGAGTGCAGAGAATAGAGAAGCCATTTGCAGAAGTTGAATACAGTAATACCTTCAGCAACAACACAGAGGAAGATTGACAACGGACCAGGGTGAGTGCAAAATAAACAGTGACAGAAAGCCCCAAGAGTAGACCCCGACAAAACTGAATGGAAATTCATAAATGTATATAAAATTAATCTATGCTTTTATATTATATAATTGAGAAATGTGTGTTTATAGTCTCAACCCAACCTGAGAAATAATTTGTAGTTTTAATAATTTAAAATAATTGGTTAAGAAACTGTTTGTTTACTTTTCAACGGAAAACATAACTTTACAATATATATATATATATATATATATATATATATATATATATATATATATATATATATATATATAATACCATACTTATAATATAGAAAGGGCAGAATAACAAAAGAATCTGAAATATCACTTACCAATCTGCTCTCCTGGAGCTCCAAAAAAATGAAGTTCATTAAGTAACCTACAACAGAAAATGTGTGAAGATAATAATTGTATACTAAATTAAATAGATTTAAAAAAAATAAGATTAAACTGAAACTGAGGAAATAGAACTATATTTTACAACAAATATAGTCAACTTTAATTTATAGAATAAAAAATCTTTTAACTAATTTTGCTACTATAATAACCATTTCTCAATGATTAATTTAATTCTTAAATCAAGCACAGAATACAAGAAATTTTAAAGAAAACATTGCTTATTTCATACTGTTAATAAACTGAAGTGAGCCAAACAAATTTACCTATTATAATAACGGTTCCACAGGTGAAACCGAGAACCTCTTAAAATGAGATGTGTGAGTCCATTCATTTGCGGCACGCCCTACAGCGCGTCCGTATAGGGTTAAAGATTAAATTTCGCAGAAATGTGAACACATGTTCTCAGAGGTGGCCTGAAAATTTCATTGAAAAAAATTCAAACAAATTTTGGAAATCCTAATTTTCAGTGAATTTCACCAAATAATATACTCTATAACCGCTCCCTTTCTTTCTTTTTTTTTTAATATATTAAATACGACTCAAGTGAACATATTGCTACCTCAAATAATCCCTCTCTGATTTGCATAAATAAAAATAATGACCACCGCACTAAGAATAAATAGTATCACAAAATTGTTAGGTCAAGTAAAATGGAAGTTAAAAAACAGTGTCAACAATAAAAGAGGAATTTTATTTAATTGATTTTTGTAAGAATTTAAATAAAATTAAATCATTATTTAGGATAAAATTATAAAGTATTATTCTTATAATTATATAGGAATAAGATAATTTTAATTCTTAAAAAAAGAAAACAGAACAATACACTAAAATAGGAAAATATATAAAATCCTAAAATTAACTAATAGCAAAGAACAAAACAAGAAGAGTTTTAGATCCAATATACATTTAATAAAATTATCTGATAATATTCAATCCACCCTTTTATTCGTGTATTAAGATTATATATTATCCTTTATTTCCTTATATACAATATACACAAGAAGTCTTGGACTTCATGCTGCAGAAATTAATAACATAAACATTCAATAAAAGAAACTCATTTAATTAAAATGCAGTAAAATTCCAATACTATATAACACTTTGTATATGAAAGAACTGTTTCTATAACAACAGTTGTGCAATGAAGTAATTAGGCCATTATTATGTTCAACCAGCAGGTTTCCCTCCATTTAAGGATACCCACTTTATAGAGGCAAGGTGTGTCCTAGGAGGGTCTCCTTAGCCAAGGCCAATCCATGGCTTATGTAACAGAATGAAAAATTCATCTGTCATAACTGGACTCAAAACCGAGTCCAGGAGGTAGCAGCACAGTACTTTTAACTCATTGAGATATCACACTAATTAATTTAATATTAACTGCATAAAATTCAATTAAAAATAGTAGCCTGATACAAGCATCAATTTCAATTAAGTAGATAAACAGAAAAATGCACAATTTAAAGTAAATTAAAAAAAATAATAATATATCTTCAATATATAGGAAAGTATTATTAAAATATATAGCAGACAAAAAATTGAAATCAAAATTTAAAAAACAAGACAACAATACTTACCACTTTACATGGGCCATGAAGTTCAATAAAATCAATCAAAGTGGATGGCACATGCTCTTCATATTCTATACCATGTCGAGCTATTGCTCTAGCAGCTAAACATTTTAAACTCACTTTATTTTGAGATCTTAGAATGATTTCAGCAATTCCTAAAAACAGGCAAAGAAATATATTAAATATCTATTAAGAACATAAATTCAATATTTCTGAACTACTTAATTACATGCACACAAAAATAAAAGACATTTATAAGAAAAGACAAAAGATTTAAAGAGAGAAAGTCTACTTAATCAACGTCAAAAATTATGGCAGTTGAAAAGTAAAATTAGTAACTCCTAAATCAAGTACCCAAATCTAAAATATAGGCAATCCAATAAATATTACTTCCATATATTATGCTTGTGAATGTTAATTCCACCCATGACTAACTTCTTAAATAAGAACTAAGGTCAATTATATCCATACTAAAGCAAATATAATGTAGTATTTGATCAAATTATCCACCCGACATAATTTTCAATCAATATTTTACAACATAATATTTAAGATTTTGCTTATGACCATGTAAAATGTTTTAACTTATGGTAAAAAAGAGAAAAGAACTAAATAGACAAATATTAGGTTATTCTGTAACTAATTGTTTTAAAATGTATTTGACTGTTTTATACAAAATTTAAAGTTTATTAATTAAATATGGACTACTAATATTATTATTAATGAGAGATTTATAAGGCCTTTACCACTTGACCTGATTAGATTTTTAGTATTTACATTACTAATAACTTCATGTTTAATCAGGTTTGACCTTGACGCCTAGCTAAGGATGGGCACCAAAATGCTAAAAAATATTTTTTCCATTCTTTTTAGGCTTAGATAAGAAAAGTATTTTATTGGTTTCAAGTTGAACATAATTATTTTTCTCTCATCTTCCAAAATATTAGAAAAGTAGTAATTCCAACAAAACAGGGCCGAAATAAAGGCACTCTTTTGACAAAAACATTCTAAATCTGGTTTTAGAATTTGCTGTTTGAAGCAGTGTCATCAGTAATGTAAACATAATACTCCCAGGCTGATAATTTAGTGAAGCAGCAAGGGTTAAAAAAAAAGGACAAGCACCTTTGAGAATATGTCTTCAAGCACCTTCCACATATGTGAGTTAATATTTATCCCACACTGGGTAGTAAGTTACAGCAACCTGTATGTAGCTGTCAGGGATTGGAAAAAAAGATTGCAAGGTCCACTTGCTGGACTATATAGCGACCTTTACACGATCATTCATGAATGAATGTCACAAGAATGGCAAAGATTGCTCAGGATCGCTTTGATCATGAAGACCCTAACACGTTCAATCATTATTGATCATTACTTATCATTGCTGACGCCAATTTAGATCATACAACCTACAAAGAAACAGCATAGATAAGCTTATTTGAACATTGTCCTTTATAGTATTGGTCATTAGAAGAAAAATGGAGATATAATAATTACTTCCTAATGCCTGAAAATTGTTTAGACCAAAGTTAGAAAAATATAAGTCAACTAATTACAAAAATTTAGGAAAAGTATAGCGAAAATAATCAATTTGTTATGAAAAATGGAAAAAATAATGACAAATAAACACAACAGTAAAAGATTTTTTTTTTCTAAAAGTAAATTGCGAAGATTCCACTTTATTTTTCTTTCTTCAGTTTATTGCCCACTTGACTATTTAAAGAAAAAGTAGTAGAATTTGAAATTTGTAGTTGAATTTCCAAAAATGAATGTATATGTAAATTTGATAATCATATGAATAAAAAATAATCTTTTTGTTCTATACACTTGATTGTTTTTTAAATTCAAGCTAGCCAGCTTTCAATGTTATGAAATCTTAAGGCATGAGCGATTTCAAGTAACCAAATTCAGAATAATTTATAACCTTATTAAGATGACAATATAAATCGAGCCAAGTTCACGAGAAAGATCCTATAAGTTATGGAATTGAAAATTTCTTATTTAAATTTGCTGGTTAGCACTTTCCTTTCGTTTAGATTGTTTCAAAAACTAATTTTACTTAAAATGTTAATCCTCTTCTTATTTACAAATTTTAAAAAAATGGAAAAAGAGATGAAATACACCATTCTTGGGAAAGCTCATTGTTTTTAAATAAAATTATGTTCTATTCTATATTACAAAATAAAAAAGCTGGTTTTATAAAAATAAAAATAATGTTTAAATAAAACGCCAATGATTAATAGAAGAAAATTCGATAGCTGCACAATAGTGTGGTGTGACCAAGAGCCTGAGGAGAAATAATTGTAAAAAAAACTTAAAATCTTCCAAAAAAAAAAAAAAAAACTAGCACCTGCTAGTGGGGCAAGAATTTCACCATTGCAAGGAGTCATCTGTGGAAAGGAGAGAGAAACAACTTGCCTAATAACTGTATCACCATCAGAGATAAGATTATATTATCTTGTTATATAAGATTATATTATTATATACCACCAACCCGGTACACAGTTATGATAAAAATAATGTCTTCTTTTTAGAAATAAAATTGATATAATAGGTTTTATATATCATTTTAGTAATCGCAACAAAATTACCTGAAATAAGGAATGGATCACAAGGACAAATTTGTATAAAAATGATACACCAAAAAATTTCAAATCATGATGCATGATAGGTAGTTACATTAATATAAACTAAAATAATCTAAATATTATACACAAATATAATAATTTAATTATTGTATAATTACATTATACAAATATTTAGATAGAAATACTTAGAAAATATTCATTTTCTTTGCTTGAGAAATCTCTGTATGTTTATAATAGGAAATTTTAGAGGCTTTTTACATGAGGACTTTCTTTAAGAGTATGGTGAACTTGACATTAGCAGAACTCAAACAATAATATAAAGCAAAGTTATTTCAGTTGATTCTATTTGCAGGTTCTCCAAGATATCCAAGATTATGAATAAAAAATCTTCCAGGCAATATTGTGTTAAAAGCTGATAATCAATGTGAAGAATGGGGAGTAGATGCAGAAAGGGAAGGAAGAAGAATAACAAAGAGCATTAGAGGAAACTAGAGTATGTAAGATTTTAATGGAAAATTGTTAGGTAGAAAAAAAAGGAAAGATTTAAGTGTAAAGGAAGTGGACTCACATGTTGGTACCCTTTGCAATTTTGAAGATAATAGGAATAAAATGAAGGAAACAAAATGTTGGTAAAGCTGGAAAAGGTGTGTAAGAGTTGCACAAAAGTACCATCAAAATAGTAACAAAAATGAGTTATTTGAGGATAAAATATTTTTTTTTAATCATTAAAATTATAAAGAAAATTAAAACTAAATGGTGAATAGATTGATCTAAAAAAAACAAAATAAGAATCACAATAAACCTTTCTCAGTTAAAATGTCTAGGCTACCATTAACTTGGAAAAGATTTCAGAAAATTTATAATAAAAAGTGAATCACTAAATCTTATTGTCTTCATAATTATAAAATCTTTTTATATTATATTAGGTTAAAAAGCTTATGATTAAATACTTCTACTTGCCTTGAAGATTGAACTGCTCACCTGTTGCAGCCGTTTCTAAAGGAGTATCTCCCCTATTATTAACAATGTCAACATGAGCTCCAGCATCAATCAGATCTTTGATTATAGAATGTAAGGTACGAAAATCACTGAGGAAAGAATAAAAAGAAAAAAGTTAGAAATCTATTATGATCACATTAACATACAATAAAATAGACACATATAAAGTAATAAATGAATGAATATTATTTATACTAGTGAACAAAAATTACAACTTGAATGGCATAATGTTGATGACCTGAAAGTAAACCTAACTTGAAAAAATCAATATTTTACTGGCCAACGACATAATGAGCTGAATATATAGAAAAACTAATCAAAATGTTATCAATAAATGAAAATATGTACTTTGAACCAAAACAATATTCACCAATAACTTATATTCTGTTGTTAAGGATTACGTAAGCTTGTTTTAAAAAAATTAAGCCCTTACAATAAAGCCTTAGTTCACCACTTTCAGTCAAAGCATAAATATGTCAGTTTCTTATTAACAGCTGCTCAAGTAACACAAGAAATTATTCAAATGAAATTTGATGGTATGCATGACCATTGCACACTCTGCCATTGTTTTGAAAAAGTCAGAAGCTATCTTCCAACCTTTGAACGAAAGAAGAGCTCAGGACGACCATATCAATATCAGAATATATTGATGTTCCAGGAGGAGCATCAATGATCTCTGAACTTAACCATGAACAGTTAGACAGGATGCATGCAAAATCATCACAGAGTTACCCAGCTTTGGTTAATAACAAAAAAGGTGTTCTATTCCAGCAGGAAAATACATTCAATTGGAATAATGAAAAGTTGAACTATCTTCATAAGGATTGAACTTCTGCTACACTAACCATACAGTCCAGACCTCACTTAATCAGAAGACCACTTATATCTTCCATGGCCCAATTTCTTCAAGAGAAAAATCAATAATTTCGGAAAGTTTAAATTATGGTACATCAGTTTTTTTAAAAGCTGCTTCAAGAATGGAACTAGTGAGGAATTCAATAACTGGCTGAAAAGTGGTAGACAAAAGTGGATTACAATGGGCTATATTTTGAATATTCATTTTCTATTATATTAAAAAAATAAAATATAAATATTTTGTTGAAAAGCAATATTTTTTTTTTCCATAAACTCTATTAGTTCTTTAGTTCTCTGGTAATATCTATGCAATATATACATATCAGACAGGTATATCTGAAAAAACTCTACACATTTATAAGTTCAAAGTAAGAGTAATGAAATAAATTACTGAATGTTTTAAGGAAGTAAGTCGATTGTTCTACATATTTATCACGGGTGATAAATAATAAACTGAATTTTATGGAAGTTTAAAACTATTATATTTATAGATAGGAAACATGTATAGAATAGAGGTATTTTCAGACTGACAACAACATATTGAGAGTAGAACAAGAAAATATTGGAAGTATGAAAAACTGGTAAGTCTGTTAATAATAATCGTGACAGCTGACTTCTATGGTTTTCTGTTAAAAATATTACATAATTTGGTCCTCTAACATCCTTGTAAATAACTCTTTAGTCTATAACTTTCTTATACATTGTATAGTTCTTTGTGGCTCCAATAAAATCTAGTGTAATTGACATACAAGTTTTCCTCATACTGCTGTCAAAATTTAATGATAGCCTAGTTAATGATTGGCATTACTAGATATTTTTTACGTATACAAATTATTATGCCATAGTTGATGAATAGAGTAATACAAGAATATATAGAACCCCAGAAAATATGAAAAGAGAATGAGGTACAACTAAACCTTGAAAAAAGTTATTAAATAATAAAATAATAGTTAATAAATAAATAATAGTTATTAAAAAGTTAAAAATAACTATCCCTTTAAATAAAAATGTAATATACACACACAAATTCTTTGTTTTTTTTCATTTGTTCTTCATCGATATCTGTTAGTAAATAAATTTTCCCACAGCTATTCTCAATTGAGTATAAAGGATAAACAATGAATGATTAGTTAAAAATATTAAAAATTACTGTATAAAATAATTGAAAGTGTTTAAGCAAGGAAACCAAGCATATCACGAAATTGGATACTATTAGAAACATTAACTAATTAACAACAGTCTATTGACATAAAATATGAAAGAATTTTTAAAACTATAACAATATTTAAATTATTTCAATAATACCTCAAACGAATTTGATACAGCACAATAGTGTGAAGAGGGGAATTCCGATCATCATCCAGTGCATTCACATCTGCACCACACTTGATAAGTAGTTTTGTAGTTTCAGCACATGGAAACCTATAAAATATCAGTATGAAATTATACACTTTGGGATAACAATTCATAACAAAATAAATCAAATCTCATCAAATATTTACATTTTTTGTAATTTAATACTATATAATATATTTTAATGTTTATTTACATATTTTAATTTTTACATTGGTTCAAATATGTTTAGTTATTATAAGACGTTTATGATAAGGTATTCATGTTTAATTTTATACTGCAGAAAAACTGAAAAATCAACAAGAAGCCAGAAAATTACTCAAATTATCCAAAATTTGCAGACAAGAAAAAGACTCACTTATTAATATAAATAAGCTTCAAAAATATAGATATATATAATAATCAATAACATTATCCCTAATATTTACCTGCAGATGTTGCTTGTATGAAAATTATCAACAGGAGTATCAGCATTAACACAAAGGTGTAGTAATGATTGACCATTTCTGGCAGTCAACTAAACATTTTAAAAAATCATTTTACTCATGAATACAATTGAACATTTGAAATATTTATGAATCATTAAAGTCTTAATTCGTTTAATAGAAAGAGGACAGCTGTAATTAAGAATAAAAGATAAATTTATGCAGCTGTTAAGTTAATACTTTAAAAGAATAAAATAGAATTGGAATGGTTCTTTCAACAATGACATTAATATACATAAATAAAATCAATTATAAAAAATACTCCTTTTTTTAAAATAAAAGTTTCTTTTTACAAGGACCACTTATATTGAATTAATTTTCCCGGCCCCCTCTCTTATGCTTATAAAGAAACACACTCCTGAAGGAGAATGTAGACATAGATAGGTGATAATAAGTTGGTGTTTGTATCAATCAATAGAGAATAGTGAATGAATAAATAAATAACTGAAATAATTACGACTATATTGAAATGGGAAATGGGGCCACTTAGAGGTAGGAAAGATAAAATATACATTAGGTTTCCAATAGTTCCATTAATATTTTATTTAATTATGATAAGAAAAATAGAATCATAAAAAAAAAATACAAATAGATTAAAGAAATCCAGGAGTATTAGTATTAGTACAGCTTAATTATTTTAATTTATAAGTGTATGCATATTAATGGTGATTTTGTTAATAGTTCGCTCAAGTAGCCAAGGGCTAAAACTAGTACATTTGCCAATAGGAGCAAGCTTAATTTTGCTACCCCTTCTTTCACTTCTCAGTGTCCACTATAAAAGTAAACATTTTAAATGTGCTTTAGGTATTGTACTCAGAATTACATATCATCAACGGATATAATTAACACGTGTCATTGACTGAATTAAGGTCAAAACAACCAATAAGTTAAAAGAACTAATTATTGCTCTTAACCTAAAAAGAAAATTTTCCTCAAAATTTGCTGCCCAAGTGCCCTCTTTGCCTCCCCCTAGTTGCAGCCCAACCCTTAATTAGCCAGACATGAAATTAAATTTTAAAGTATTGAGCAATACAGAATTTCAAAGAAATTGAATATTTGGGATAGTAGCTAATGTTTCTAAAGATTTAGAGATGTTAGAAATGAAGGAGATTGGACAATATATAAAATATAAAAACATTCTGTATTAGAAATTTCAAACTTAGGATGGAGTATACATTTTTCTTTTTTTTTACTAATTTATTAGTTACCTGGGAAATTTAATTGGTACTTTTTGTCTAAGCGGCCGTTTTGAAACCTCACTTCTTATCTATCTTATCTAACGTCATGTCATCATGTCACATAACCTCCCTCTTCTTAACCCGCCAAACTTTTGAGTTATTGCATTGTTTAGTTTTCACTTATTCCCTTATTACGTTCACTTATTAAATTGTTTACTTTTGGCCCGTTTGTGTTTATTTTTAGTTTTTGGCCCGTTTGTGTTTATTTTTAGTTTTTGGTCCGTTTGTGTTTATTTTACATTTTTTTTTAGTTTGTGACCCCTTGGTGTTCATTTTTCATTTTTTTTTTCCGTTTATTTTCGTCATATTAAGGATCTTCTTAGAATATGGGATTCACCGTCTTCAGAAGAACAGGCAATTCAGTATTTTCAAAATGTTGGGGTACTTGCTGGCTTATCATTGGTAGATGTTTGGTGGAGTTTCCCTAGAAACAGATGAATGTTTTATCGTCAAAATAATTGACAGAAAGACAACAACATTATTACAAGCCATTAAAGAAAATATAGAAGAGGGAACGACCATTTATTCGGACTTTTGGAAAGGATACAACACCCGACAACTGAACGAAGCTAACTATGACCATTTCCAAGTGAATCACCGGTATAATTTTGTCGATCCATCAACTGGAGTTTATACTCAACACATAGAACGATTGTGGGGCTCAGCTTAGTGGAGAAATAAAGTACATAGAGGAACTGCCAGACAACACCTCGATTCATATTTGTGCAAATTTTTGTGGCAGCAGGTTCACAGAGAAGAGGACCCGTTCCTCGCTATTTTAAGTAGCATAAATAAGACAAAAGGAAGTGAATAATTAACTTAAAATAATTTGTATATACGTTGTTTATAATGTTGATATTTTTTCTTTTCTAAGTAAATATGTTCTTTTAAATTTGTTTTTTTATTATTTCATTAATATATTTGTCGTCAAATAAAAGTATTTTTGTTGTTATTACATTTGTTTTTGTATCTGTTTACACTTTCAATAATACGAATTTAATACAATAATACGAAGATGTGAAGTAGGAGAAGGCTTATCACTGCGTTATGGGAGCTATCAGTGTTCAGGTTATAAACATTGGCAGATAGCAGTCAGTAGCGGCCGCTTAGACAAAAAGTACCATTTAATTATTTACATTCATTCACTTTAAATCAAGTACGATTGAAACTCAAATAGCGTAAAACTGAAATTAATATTATTTTTTAGCAAGTCTTTTTTTTTCTATAACTAAGATCTGATTACTTAGTGGTTTTTAACCCTCAACTATTTTTAATATTACAGTAATCTTTAGTAACATATATTATCATGGTGAAGAGCTTTTCATAAATAACAAAAATATGAGTTATGTATATATTATTATATAGTAAAGGTGGTTTGAGAAATCATTAAAAAAAAAAAAATGATTAGATTAAAAATTTATATAAATTTAAAACTCTAAATGAAAAATGTTACCTTAAGCTCATTAATACGAAAGACAAGCTGATGAATTTTAAAAACTTCATCCATTGTTTGATCCGCCAACAATTTAGAAATTATAACTATTAAATACAAGGCAGTTATCACATTACTTTCAATGTCTTCCTGTTCAAAAAATAAATATCATAAAATTAGACAACAGATTTTAATTGTGTGTTTGATATGAGTTAATCTTAAATAAGATAAAATCAGATATAAATGTTGTTTAAATTTGTTAATATAAATAAAAATAACTGCCATGAACAAATTACAAATTTATTTACAAAAGACTATAAATTTATGTGTGCAGTTAATCTGCAAGAATATCAAAACATAGAAAAAGCTATATGTTTAGTCTTGTATATAATCCAATATCATTGTTAACACTTCAATTAAACTCTTCAAGAATAATAGATAAAATAAATATTTTTATCATGGAGTAAATATATATATATATATATATATATATATATATATATATATATATATATATATATATATATATATATATATATATATATATTTAGAAATGATCCTTATGTGCAATTGACCAAATAAAATGACATTATAGACATAAGCAAGTCAAACTATAACTTGAAACACTTTAAAAAGTTCCATTTTAAAAAGAAATGTTTTAAAAATAAAGGTCTAGAGAACTTTTAAAAAAAAGTGTTTTTAAAATAAAAGTCCTAAGGAATTTTTCTGTGATAAAATATTAGAATTATTTTAAATTTTAAATACTTATGTTCTTTAAAAAAGTTACTTCAAACGATAATTAACAATGGGTGGGCTTAGATTACAGATATAATTTCTCTTGAATGAATTGCCTCATTGATGTCATAATGAATGTTCTTGAGAAAGAGGGCATAATATAATGAAAATTCATAAAAGCAATTTCCAAATAAATTATAGTATTCAGGTAAATGAGGTATTCAGTAGTAAAACTATTAAAATTAAATTTTAATAATGAAAATTAAATTTTCAAAAAATTGATGCATGTGGGTGTCAATAATAACTTTGGAACTTTAAGTTGCAAATAAAATAAATGGTAGAATATTAATACATTAAAGAGAATTATTCTTTCTGAAAACTTATTATATTACTAAATAAGAACCAAGTTATGGCTCAAATATCCCATGTGCAATTAATTTTAGGCAAATGAGAAATAATAATATAATTTTTTTTTTTAAATATAGATACCTTTACTTGAAATAAGTCATCTTTCAAAACAGCTTTTTCGACTTGCAATTTATTCCTTTCAAGTTCTTTAACTGCCACAGTTAGAATATATGCAACAATGCTAAACTGAAGTTCAATGCCATCGTGAACCATTTGTGAGAAAATCTAATGTAAAATAAATAAAATATTAACTATGATGAATATGGAATATAAGTATACTGGATAGCTAAAACGCCATGAATATTCATAAAGAACAAAATGATATAAGTAATAAATTTAAAGAAAAACAATTTGTATTCCAAGAAACTTTGCTTTGAACACCCTCTCTCATTATCTCATAATTTTAAAAAGTAATTTTTTGGTGATAGAACCTTGTTCGTATTATTTTCCAAACTCAAATTATAATATACAACAGCCCCAGCTCATTTTATTTTCACAGTTCCTAAGAACCATTGGATGAAACAGTCACTTATTGGTTTGTTTTCAATGTAGAATAACAAAAAAAAATTCAGATAAAAATTGGAAATGGATAAATCGTGTTCTCTCCTTGTAATTTCATCTATAATTACCTAATAAAACTAATAGTAATATCCTATTTAAAAAACATCTTTTATTGTAGTCTAATAAAACCAAATTTAATAACATTTGAGAGGTAAAATATATATATACCTGAGCAAATCTACGAAGATCTTTAACAAGAGAATCCTTGGACTGAGTCAACTGAAGTGCATGTATCCAAAGATCAATACATCTGTCGAATCTACCATTGTCAGCAAACACTGCTCCTCTATATATAATAGGGTGAGGAACTTCTGGGTTTTCCTTTCCTAAGATCCTTTCCCTAAAATTAAAAAAATATGATTATACAAACATTGGAGAAAGAAAATAATATCATAATACCAGTAAGGAGTAACAACCAACAATTTACCTAATAGCCAGTGATTCCATATGTATTGCATTATTATTGTTTCTGCGTGCTTGAAGTTCTTGAACATTTTGACTTTCAATCCAATTCTCATATGCTGGTATAGGAGTCACTTGAGGTTTCTTAATAGGTGCTTCAGGAACAGAAAACCTATTTAATAAAAATTAATTTTATAAAAAGCAGTAGAATAATAATAAATCCTTTTAATACAGAATATTATTATTTATAGAAACATTAAACTTAAACGGTTTATATGACCTTTTATATTTATAACCTTCATATCATTTTATAATATGAGCAGTCATGTATATTACATGCAGTACTTAGTGTTACATACATGTTTGATTTTATAAGGAATATTTTCTGACCCCATAAACTTTTTCAATAATTAAAAATACAAATAGAGCTATCATTGAACACAGAACAAATTCTAGAAAATGTTAGTTGGTGGATGTGGTTAATTTTTGTTTTTCTTTCCAGACCACATCTCTCTATACAATTTACACTGATAATTATAACTGTTTTCCTCAAAAGAATAAAGTAAAAAATTCATCAGAATAATTTTACATAAAATTAAATTTTAAGAATACATTTATTACATATGTACACGTACACATAAGTACACGTACAAGATCTTCTGCACAAAAAACGTATACATCCAATAACAAATAATGATCTTAGGAAACACATCTATAACAATCATAAAAAAATTTAAAGATCATAATGGTAATTAAGTCAATATCATAATGGTCTATTTTTCATTTTAAAAATTTAATTACTAAAGATATAAAAATTTATTATTTTAAGAAGTGTGTCTTAAATATAACAAATAATAAATCAAGGCTTCAAATACAGTTAATATTTTCTATAATTAACAAAAACAAATCCATTGAAACAAAAATTGAAGCAGCTAATAAATAAAAACAAGTCAACAGTTAATATAAAAGAGCAAAAACTCAAAAGGCTACATAAATTAAATGTTAGGATATAATTAGAAAATTCCTATCACAAAGCTCTGAGTCTCTAAAACGCAGATAAGCAAACTAACTTATGTTTCGCTAATGTAGGCATCGCCAGGATAGAACAACCTAAATCACATACATTCAGATCAAATATAATACATTTCTCATCAACAATCAAAAACAGACACATTTACAGAGTAATACACTATCTCTGATAATATATTACTCCATGACACCTAAACACATACTCCAATTATTGAGCTAACAACGACAAAAGTTAATGAATAGAACAGCCTTGGAGCTTTTGTGAAAAAAGTCAGCTGTTCCGGATTGTTTTAGAGTAGAAAATTTTTTATTAGATGTTGAAGATGTTTTATTTTATAATTATTTATGAATAAAAAAATATTTCAATAATAATAAGTCATATTACATTTCTAAAATTTGTATTATACTTTAAAAAAATGTTTTCTTAGCACTTGGATACATATTTTGTTTCTAGTCTATTCTTGTAAGCCTTGTCTTGTATTATTATCAATATATTAGTGTCAATTTTTTGCTCATCTGCTTCCAGGCCTGGACTAAATTTATGATAAGTAGTTCCTAACAAACAAGACTAAACTCTAGTTCAAATTATGAATGTTGCATCAAACAAACTTCCAAAAGTTGACAGTTACTGATAAATCTAATTAATAACATGAATATCAATAATTTTATTTAATAAAAAAATTAAGATAACTTTACCTTAATTTCATCCCTTTTAACAAGTAGAAATAAGCTTTATTCGGACAATAATTATCTTTATCATTGGCAAATGAAGCACCTAATAATTCATAAGCATTTATTTGTTCTTCAACTGTTAATTTACATTTGAAAATAAAATATTCAACAACATCTGCCCTTGTTCTTTCTGCTGCTGCAAGCACTGGAGTAATACCTAACAAAAAAATAAATAAATAAAAACATTTTTTAATGCTAAAATAGATAGGCATATGAATAAAATCATTCATTAAACAAAGTGATAAATCGAAAAATATTAGCAATTGAACTTTAATTATTAAAACACATGCTTGTAACTAGCAAATATTATATAGCTAATTGCTATCTATATACTTTTAAGAATCAATATTTAAAAAATAAATATTTCCAAATTCAGTAATTTTATTCACTAATTTTTGTACTTATAAATGCCAAAATTCAGGATCACAGTAGCGCCTAAATTATACTAACTTAATGTAAGTTCCTTTTGACTTCTACAACAACAAAAATATTGCAGAAATACCAAAATTAACTATCTTTTTTTTGACAAATTAGGAAAAAATTGGTTTTATTTAATTGTAATTCCATGTTTAATATTTCATAAATGAATGATTTTCACATTTTTTAGACTATGAAAGTGGTCTAAGTACATTTGAGGTCCTCAAAAGTATAAATTTCTTTTAACTAATACTTAAAAAAAAACACATTACAAACTTAAATCAATTTAATATTTAAAAACATATAGGTAATCAGTGTATTGACATATACAAATAATGTTGTAACCATTCAGATACAAAACCTTAATTATTTTTATATAATATCAAATGGAACTACACCACTAAAGAAAATGGCTTAATTAATGATAATTGAAAAAAACAAACCATGATTGGTTGGAATAAGTCTAGCACCATATTTTAAAAGATCCTTTACTACTTCAAGATGACCACATTCTGCAGCAAAAAATAAAGCAGTTGCTCCACAGTGAGCTTGTTCATTAGGGTCAACTTTTCTTTCCAACAAGTAACGTACAATATCAATATGACCTACAAATAAAAGTTTATTTAATAATAAATAACACTGATAATAGATTGAAAAAGTAGCTGGATCAAGCAGTGATTACTAATTTAACCACTTTCTAAATATTATGTGTAATTAAACTTCTATTATAATCAAAATATGTGCATATACCAATAGTACATAATTTACACTGATTATTTATTTAATACTACTTTTTTTTAAAATTAATCAGTGAGGGAGCATAATACATTAAAAAAAATTACTATAAGAGCGAGCCTTAATACTTTGTCTAAAAGATGTTTTAAAATTGGATGTAGTTCAACAACTTGGATTTATCTTTTTCTGGTCATTAAAAATTAACTCAAGTATTCATTGGAAGACTGTTTTATAAATAAAATGAGGATATGTATAAGAGAGAATTGTAATATCGACTAAACAGCAACTAACCTACCTTTATAAGAGGCAATCATTAAACAAGTGTTATTGTACTTGTTTGGTTTGTTTATATCAGCCCCATGCATTGCAAGATATTTGACAATATCTAATCTCCCATCATAACAAGCAGCTCTCATAGGAGTAGAATTGTTAGTTGTTGTGTGATTTACATCAGCTCCAGCTTTAACTAATGTCTTAACAACATTTAAATGTCCAGCACCTAGAATAGTTATACAGTAATTAGAGAATATAAAAGTTTTGAGGTAATGTGTTGATTTTGTCCAGAAATTTATATATATATATATATATATATATATATATATATATATATATATATATATATATACACATATTGATATTGTGACAGTGCTATTATTAATGGCAAATTATTTTTTAGAAATTTGTCTTAGTCCAGCCATAAAAATTTACTATATATGATATTAATATTAAGAGGTGTAAAAAAGTTTTTGAACAAACCAAATTTTTGTAAACATGATAAATGCTTCAATTTAAAAGTGCTTTTATCTTCTTAATTGTAAACTGATTTAACCTTGCAGACATATATCAGATTTAATACTCCATATTCCATTATTTCTTTTAGTTTTCAATTTAATGTTGTATTTCAGAAAATAACAAAATATCATATTTTTGACTGGTATAAAATTATAATTTTATGTCATACGAGGACTTAATATCAGGGGAAATTAAAAAAGAAATTGAAGGTTCTAATTCTAGAATTTATCATGTCATTAAATATTAAATAAAAACAACATAAAATTGGAGACTTGAAATGTTCAAGCAGGTTTAAACAACATAGTCCTACTGCTGAACAACATTTAAAATTATTGTGTTTCTACAACTGTTAAAAATCTAGCTAAGATCCGTTCAAGCAGGTTTAAACAACATAGTCCTACTACTGAACAACATTTAAAATTATTGTTTCCACAACTGTTAAAAATCTAGCTAAGATCTGACTCAGGAAATAGCCGATGTTAAAAGGAACCAAATTTTGTCCTCCTTGATCACAAAGAGAGATGGTTGTTTTTTTTTTGTTTTTTTTTCCAATATTCCTGGGATTGTGCACCGTTACGGGTTCTTGCAGGTCAAAATATTTATCAACATTACTATATTCACATTCTTGCTGAACTCTGAGAAAGAATTAAACTCAATACTAGACCATCCACCTTTTCACCGGATCTTGTGTTACATGACTTTTATCTGTTTCCTAATGTGAAATTTACATTAAAAGAAACACAATTTGAGTCTATTTAAGCTGTGAAAGAGAAAGTTTCAAAACTCCTTTGAAGGAGCTGCAAAAGCAGATTTCCAGTATTGTTTCAGACAATAGAAGATTCAGATGGAACATTGTAGCGCTATCGCTTCAATATACATCCCTCTATAGGAGGGATGTATATTGAAGGTGATAATAAGTAAATATGTAAGAAATTAAAATAAAATGTTATATAGCGTCAGAGTTGTTATTTAATAGTCTCACCTTGTATCTTTAAATGTTATCAACATTTTAAAAATTATAAATTAATTTGTACTCCCAAACTGTGCAGATCTACTTATGACACTTACTTGCTTCTTTAAGTTTTGATTTGGATAGGGCATCATTTTCAGAAGTTAAGATCAATTATTATTGTATAAAGGGATGGATAAACCTTTCTCACCACAACCCGTTTGGGTATTTTTTGAAAATAGAGATAAGCAATGAAAAATGTACACCAAAACGGAAGATGGGAAACTATTACTAATTAACAATTCTATAAACAAAGAAAAAAGGTTGACGAGAAGCATCCACTATTTTATCTATTATCTAGGGTGGATTAGTCCCATTACTCACAGTAAAAGCTGCCACTTCACCTTCCTCCCACTGCCATCAGCAGTCATGATAGATAAAAACTTATCTAGACTCATTATCTTCTCAGGGAGAGGCTTATTTTATCAATAGATGAGCAAATCTATTATTATTATATAGTTTATATTATTATTATTATTATTATTATTATTATAGATGCAGAAATACATTGATGAAAATTATAATACATTCATTAAATTAACAATGTAATATAGTGCTCATGTATTTATCCAGTATTAAAATAATTCATCAATTATTAGAGAGAGGAGCTAAAAAGCAAAATTCACATGCAAAACAAACATCAATAATTTGAATTCTTCAATTTAAAACAATACAGAAAAGAGGCTACAATACCTGCTGCACACCACAAAGGTGTGGCACCTTCAATAAAGTAATGTTCAACCCTAACACATCCTTCATGTTCAATATTAGCATTAAACTTAGAAAGCAAAATTTTTACAACTGTATTGTGACCATTTCTTGCAGCAGCAATGAGAGGAGTTAGACACTGCCCTTGATAATCATAAACTTCCTAGAAAAGTAATAGAAATATTAACACAATGAAAATCTCATTTGAAACATTAACATATACATATATACAACAGTTAGTTCATATTTCTTGATTTCTTTTGTTAATTATGAACAATGAATAGGAAATTATTTAAAAGTTATATTTTTAACTCAAAAATATTGTTAAAAAAAGACAATGAAAAGACAACAGGTGCATATGGATAAGCTATATTTCTCCCCACCCCACATCCTATAATTTTACTTCACAACACAATACTTGTTAGGGCAAAAAAGATTGTGGATATTTTCCTTCTTGTAAAATACTTCCACTGAACCAACAATAAAAAAAAATCTGAAATAAAAAATAGATAGATAGATAATAATTATAAGATAATATAATAGATAATAATAGATAAGATAATATTTAGATAATAATATATCATTGGAAAAAAAAAAACTGTATTTACTTAAAACAAACATCCGTTCTCAAAGGAAAAAAAGAACAAGAAAAAAAAGGTAATTTGTTAAAAATGTTTTTGAGCTGATTATTTTATATATTGCACTCAAGCCCACGTTTTGATCATGTCCTATTTATTAGATTGAAAATTAAATTTATTATGGTGAATAATTATTTACTGTTGGAAGATATTGTTGAAGAGAAGATGGTTGGGGACTGAAATCATTGGAAGTACAAAGTAAAAATAAATTACACTATAATAAATAAAATACTATAAAATATAATATAATATAAAATATAATTTATTTTTACTAGATATTTCCAATGACTGGAACCCCCAACCATCTTCTCTTCATCAATCAAATATATTAGTATATAATATGTATTTGGTTCTACCTAGTAGAAGCGGTTGTGGGGAAAAAAAACAGTTAATTTCCAGAGGATTGGTTTACTGAGGTAACCATCATTCACATTTCTCATCTTCAATGGAAGTGTAATGTAGAAAACACATAATTAAATAAATATATTGGGAAAAAAAACCTTTATTTCAATGCCTTTATGGTGCTAGGGCTACTCAGTTTGCCTATCTGGAATGTCTCTTCTACACTCTTTAAGTATGATTATGAATAAAATCTCTAATTATCAACAATACTTGAATTACCTTTTGCCCCATAACAAATGAATATAAAAAAATTAATCATAAATGACAAATCTTATTTCAGTACTTCAACTCTATAGAAACTCGACAAGGACAGAGAAGGATAGAAACAGAGGTATAAACAACTAACAGGAAACCTAAAATTGCATATCTTAAGTAACAAAATATTTATGCTGATCAATAACAACAATTAATAGAGAACTATCTGGAAAAAAGAAAATCCTATCCATTCCGAAGTTCTAAACTATAGTAATTTATTGAAGAACAAAATTTTCATCCTGATATGAGAAGGAGTTGATCAGGGGGTGCGGTCAAATTAATACTAAATTAAATAAGTAATAATAATAATAATAATAATAATAAAAGGCTTAGCGAACCCGAAGGTTCGATGCCGACACCACCAATCGCTTATTACACACCTCCCTCCACCGTTCGCCGTCCAAACCCAGTCCCTTCAGATCGGCTTTAATGCAATCTTCCCACCTTCGCTTCGGTCTACCCCTCGGACGATTACCATTCGGCACCGCACATATTAACCTTTTAGGAATTCTCTCGTTACTAAGCCCAACAACTTTACAAGCCCATTTGATTCGCCGCGATGAAATTACCTCAATTATATTACCCGGATACAGCTCACGCAATTCGGCGTTGTGTAACCGTCTGAACTCTCCGGTTAACTCATCCTTCTTCGGTCCGAATATTCTACGCAATACTTTATTTTCAAAAACCTTAAGACGCTGCTCATCCCTTAATGTAAGCGGCCAAGTTTCACATCCATAAAGAACTGTAGGCAAGATAATTGTTTTATAGATTCTAATTTTTAAGTTCCGGGACAAGAGACGCGAACTAAGTAGTTTTGTCACAGAAAAATAACAAGCATTTCCCGCCTTCAGTCTAACCTTAATCTCTTCTTCAATTTCGTTTTTTCTAGTTATCGTAGAACCTAGATACCTGAATTTCTCTACCTGTTCAAACATATTACCATCTATATCGATATCAACAGTAGTATCGCCATTTTTGCAGCTAACCATATATTTTGTTTTATCCACGTTTATTTCGAGTCCTAGTTCTTTACCGGCTTTCATTAACGCTGTCGTATTTAGTTTTAGAGTTTCAACGTCTTCGCTTAACAGTACCAGATTATTAGCATAGCCCAGCACGGATGTTAAATTAAATAAGTAGAATTATTTAATTTTTGCCTCCTTTCATCTAGATAGTTGAATTATGCATTTCTTAATCACCATAAAAACATTCTTCTATATAAATATTTTAACCATAAAGGGTTATGAAAAAAGTGTATGACAAACAAATCTAAAATGTTATAATATCAATTATATAATAAATTATTTTGGCATATAAATCTAAATGAAAAAAAAGTTTACAGTATCTATTATCCACTACAAATATTCAAAACTCTTTATTCTTTTAGACTTTACAAATATAAAAGAAAACACCAATATATGTTTAAAATAAAAAGTAGCATTGTTTATATAAAACTAACAAATAAGTTATATAAATTAAAGAGTGCTTTTCAATGGGAGGCACCACGGAAATTCAAAATAGGAAGAGGTTTTAGACAAGGAGATACACTACCTTCAGGCTTTTTAATCTGTTATTGGAAGCAGCCATAAGGAAAATAAAAACAAATGGTGGAGATATAATTTACATTTTTATGATGCAGCATTTAGCAAATGCAGACGATGTGCTGATAACAGCATGGACTGTTCCAGTACTTCCAGGAACTCTTGAAGAATTCCTCAGGGAAGCTGGAGAACTAGATATTGAAATTAATACAGACTAGAGTATGTACGTGCGGACTTCAAGAACAGACCAGATGAAATGAAGATAGTGAATTGGAGTTTCAAGAGCTATGACGAATTCAAGTCCTAGGTTGCATGACCACTTGCCAGAACAAAGAAGAAAGAGATGTTAAAAGGAATGTATAGTAGCAGAAAATCGATGTCTGTAAAATGCACAGAAACTATTGAATTGTAAAAACCTGTCCAGAAAAGTAAAAACTTCTGACACACAAAAGTGTGACATGGTCCATGAGTAAAGAAAGCAAAACGATGTTCCATGCATCAGAAAGAAAAACACCTGAAAAATTGATGAACTAAAGTGGAGCATCAATGGCCTAGCCTAGAACTTTTTTTTTGTTCTTCCCTTCCTTGCCTTTTAGGCTACACAGAATTTTTCCCGTGGTTCGGGGAGAGGGCAGCGGAATTATGACGAGTTAAAATTTCCACCAGGTACAGGGATTTGAACTCATAATATTTTTCCATCTAAGTCCAGTTATCAGGTTGCCAGGCAACGTGAGGTGCTGTGCACACGCTTTAGCCTACTTGGCCACTCCGCCCCATCTAACCTAGAACAAAAGGACCTATACGGTAAACAAGATATTGTGAGAACCATTCAACTTAACAGACTCTGATGGTTGGGGCATGAAGAGAGGATAGACCCTACAAGAATGGCAAGAAAACTAATCTAGGGGAAGCTGGAGGATGGAAGAAGACAGGAAAAGCTGTGGCTCAAATGGTTGGACAAGGTGGAAGGCAACCTGAATAAGAGGGTATATAGAGATGGAGACGTTTCACAGTTGATAGTGCCTTGTGGAAGAATATATAAGCAAAGGTCATGTTTTTTCAAGCACTATAGAGCCCAGCAAAGAATGAATATAAATTAAAATAATTACAAAATACACCTCTTAAGATTATTGAATCTAAAATCATTTAATAAAACTGAAATAGAAACAATTGCTACAATTTTTCCAATACTATACATAGTTAACACATGTCTGGCATATGAGTATTATAAGAACATTTAATTTTCAATCAATTTTTACATCAAATACATTGATATTTATTTTTAAATAATTACTGAAACAATGCAAGAAATTATTAAGTTTGATGGCCTAGGCTCAGCTCATTCTTGAAGGAATAAATTGATCAATGTTAATGATTATTTTCTTGAAAAGTGAACCTGCAACAAATACCATACAAAACAGCATGATATTTCTAAATAAATAGATATGATATTTCTAAATAGAAGATGAATCAAACAATTTAAATAAAGTATCTAGTAATTTATATAACATTAATTTGAATTAAATATAAAATGCAAATTATTCACTAGGATTCTTATCCAGTAAAATATATTTTGTTTTCAGAAATAATTTTACTAATAATTTATTTCAACAACTTTACTTATAATTTAATTTTATTATATAAAAGGACAGCCCATTTTTTATTTGAAACTATTAAGCTCAAAAGCTATTGGATTGATTTACACGTGGATTTTAGAAAAATATGTTATTTTGTCTTGAGTTTGTTTCAAGCTCTTGCCATGGATGTGACCAATAGAATGTTAAAAATACGTGTACAGAGAGTTAATTAGATATAATTAATAATGTATAAACCTACTTTTACATTATTTCTGGAATGTTGTTGAAAATGTCAACAAAATATTGGTCATAGTACAAATGCTACCAAAAATGTTAAAAATAATAAGATAAAACGAAGCAGTGGCAGAAAAAGTACAAAAAAATAATATATTACTTATAATATTATTATAAAAAAAAGGTACAGTCCACTACTAACCACAAAACTACTAGACCAATCAACACATGATTTTTATCTAAATGGCCTGTGTTGCGAGGTTTCTTGCTAGTGGAATACTAGATCTGACCAGTGGAAAGAAAATTAAAAATAATTTAAATCCACTACATACTCTAGAGAGTTTTGTAAGCATAGTTAATACTTGATCATAATTTTGCATTCTAAAATCACATGTTTCTTTATTTTAACATGCTAATTTTAGAAACTGGCTGACCGATTTAAAAAATACTTTTTGTGTCAAATAGACCATTTTTTAAGGAAAGTTTTAGGGTTACAATATCATACTATGATCC